GCAGCTGCTCCTGCTGCTGGTGCTGCTCTTCTAGATGTTGCTGTTGCTGCGTCTGCTGCTGCAACTCTTGCTGCTGCTGCTGCTGCTGCTGCTGCGGTTCCAGCGGCAAAATTGGCTCATCAATTTCGCAGTCTTCAAACTCGGTGTCGCTATTATCCGCCGTAGCATTTGCTGCCGCTTCTGCTGCTGCTGCTGCTGTTGCTGCTGCTGCTGGCTCAGCAGTAGCGGCTGTCTCCCCAGCTAGAAATTCCTCACCGAAAATCTCTTCGTCTGGAAGCAGCGCCAGGTGCTTCTCTGAGCAGCAGCAGCAGTAAACACAGCAGCAGCAGCAGCAAATGCAACAGCAGACGGAGCTGCAGCAGCAGATCCAGCAGCAGCAGCAGCAGCAGCAGCACGCTTAGAGCTCCATCTCTGTCTCACTTTTGCCGTCCTTCTTGACGTAGAACTCATCATCCAGAAACTCTTGCTGCTGTTGCTGCTGCACCCTGCTGCTGCTGCTGCTGCTGTCAAAGAGCTCCTGCATTTCCCTTCGTTTGTTCTCAGCAGCAAGAGCAGCAGCAGCAGCACCACTGAAGAGCTCCGAGGGCCGCAGCGATTTTAAATCAAGTTCTGATGTTCCCCGCAGCCGCTGCTGCTGCTGCTCCTCTTGCTGCTGCTGCTGCAGCAGCAGCAAATCGTTCACAAATTTGCGGCGCCCGGACTTTGGGACTAGCCCGCACAACTCCATCCACGAAGCGCTGCTGCTGCTGCTGCTGCTGCTGCTGCTGATGCTGCTGCTGATGCTGCTGCTGCTGCCAGTGGGAATGTCCGCCAGGCTCTGCAGTCTCTGCGAAGGCGCTGCAGACGCAACAGAAACCCTAAACCCTAAACCCTCAACCTTAAACCCTAAACCCTAAACCCTAAATTCCAAACGAAATATGATACAGTTGGTCTCTTAAGCTGACATGGTGCACAGTCTAGGGTTTGAGGCCTAGGGTTTAGGGTTTGACAGTGAGGGTTTAGCGTCAGAGCTTACATATCTCTGATTTTTGCATCGCCGCAATTTGCCGCTGCTGCTGCTGCTGTTCCTGGGGCATATTCCCTCCCAGCTGCAGCAGCAAGGGCGGTGGCTCCTGCTGCTGCTGCTGCTGCTCTTCTTCGAGCTGCTGCTGCTGCCTCATCTCTTGCTGCTGCTCCGCCATTTTGGTCTTAACGCTGTTAATTTCCTACAGCAGCAGCAGCAGCAGCAAGTGAAGCAGCAGCAGCAAGTGCAGCAGCAGCAGCAGCAGCAGCAAGTGCAGCAGCAGCAGCAACTCTGCGAGTATCAGCAGCAGCGCGCTGGTTCTTTCAGGAGAAGCAGCAGCAGCAGCCGCCGCAGCTGCTGCTGCTGCCGCAGGAATTCATTAAATATTTAAATAATTAACTAATGAATTAATGAATTAATGAATTAATTACTCGATTTGTCTGAATCGCCCGAATGTAACCCTCCAGCTGCACATTCGAAAACACCGAAGTGTCGCTGCTGCAGCTGAGGGCCCGCCGCCTCGAGGCTTCGATCCAGGCGTCTCGGATTTGCAGCAGCACCTAAATAAATAAATAAATAAATAAATAAATAAATAAATAAATAAATAATAAATAAGTGATTTGTTTGTTGGCAAAGAGCAGCAGCTCGGTGATGGAGAAAAAACGAGAAAAAACGAGCACGTAGATGTGAAAAAAAGTATAGTTGACGCCTAAACCCTAAACCCTAAACCCTAAACCCTAAACCCTAAACCCTCAACCTTAAACCCTAAACCCTAAACCCTAGGAAGGACCTGGTACTGAAGGGTTAGCGGCAAAGCGTTAAACACTTTGGGGTCTATGGCTGAGTCGAGGGGCAGCTCCACAAATTCGCCGCTGCTGGTTAAAAACGCTGCAGCCGCAAACCCTAAACCCTAAACTCTAAACCCTAAACCCTAAACCCTCAACTCTAAACCCTAGACAAACTGCTGCAGGCTAAATAAAGTCGAAGCGGAAACCCCTAACTTCAGGCTGCAAACCCTAAACCTCTGACCTGATCTGCCCTCCTCCCACGCAGCTCAAAGCTGACGTTTAGGGTTTAGGGTTTAGGGTTTAGGGTTTGGAGTTGATTTCTCTCGCCTTTGAATTCTTCAGGGTCTCTGAACACGCGCTGCTCCTGCTTCGTCATTTGCAGCTTGGCTGCGGACGCAAACCCCAAACCCTAAACCCTAAACCCTAAGCCCTAAACCCTAATCCCTAAACCCTAAACCCTTCTTTGGGGTTTGCCCAGCTCACTCCTGCGTCCTTTGCGCTGCAGAAAAGGGGGAAGCGTCAAAATGCTTTCTTTTGACCTGAGTCAAAAACTTTATGCAAAATAAAAATGAAACTAGACAAACTTTATATTGTTGTCAAGCAGCTATAAACAACACAATTAGGGTTTAGGGTTTAGGGTTTAGGGTTTAAGGCATTTAAAAAAAAGAAAATGCCTTTTCGCGAAACCTGCCTTTCTTCAGGTGTACGCACACCCCAAATACTCGCGAAAACGAAATTCGAATTTTCTCGAATTGCAAATTTATATTTAAATATATGTTTATTTATATTTATATTTATATTCATTTGTTATATTTGTATTGTATTTATATTATACTTATATTTATATTACACTTATATTTATATTGTATTTACATTATGGTTATATTACATTTATCAGTTTATTTGTATTTATATTCTATTATATTTATATTTATATTTATATTCTTTTTGTAATTGTAGTTATTCTTATATCTATATATATACTTACACTTACATTTATATTCATATTTATATTTATATTTATATTTATATTTATATTTATATTATATTTATACTATATTCATATTCATATTATATTCATATTCATATTATATTCATATCTATATTATATGCATATTCATATTAATATTATATTTATACTTATAATTATAATTTATATTTATATATATACTTATATTTATATTATAATTCATTTATATTTATAATTTATTTACATTTATAATTTATCTATATTTATAATTTATTCATATTTATAATTTACTTACATTCATAATTTATTTATATTTATAATTTATTTATATTTATAATTTATTTATATTTATAATTTATTTATATTTATAATTTATTTATATTTATAATTTATTTATATTTATAATTTATTCATATTTATAATTTACTTACATTTATAATTTACTTACATTTATAATTTATTTATATTTATAATTTATTTATATTTGTGATTTATTTATATTTGTAATTTATTTATATTTATAATTTATTTATATTTATAATTTATTTATATTTATAATTTATTTATATTTATAATTTATTCATATTTATAGTTTACTTACATTTATAATTTACTTACATTTATAATTTATTTATATTTATAATTTATTTATATTTGTGATTTATTTATATTTGTAATTTATTTATATTTATAATTTATTTATATTTATAATTTATTTATATTTATAATTTATTCATATTTATAATTTACTTACATTTGTAATTTATTTATATTTATAATTTATTTATATTTATAATTTATTTATATTTATAATTTATTCATATTTATAATTTACTTACATTTATAATTTACTTACATTTATAATTTATTTATATTTATAATTTATTTATATTTGTGATCTTATTTATATTTGTAATTTATCTATATTTATAATTTAGTTATATTTATAATTTATTTATATTTATAATTTATTCATATTTATAATTTACTTACATTTATAATTTACTTACATTTATAATTTATTTATATTTATAATTTATTTATATTTGTAATTTATTTATATTTGTAATTTATTTATATTTATAATTTATTTATATTTGTACTTTGAACTATTTAGCAAAGCAAGTAAATGAATTGCTGGTGTTGTATTAATTGATTCAATCAAACGGATTAAACAATTAATTAAATTAATTAAATAAATAAATTGGGTAAGTAAAGGAATTAAAAGAACTAAATGAATTAATTAAATTGATTTAATTAATTTAATTAATTAATTAAATGAATTTATTAAGTTGATTTAATTAATTTATTTAATTAATTAAATTGAATTAATTAAATTGATTTGTTTATTTCAATTTGCTGCAGGAAGATGCAAAGGGCAGATCACCTGATGTCTAACTCCGCCAACCCCACGACTGCAGCAGCAGCAGCAGCAACAGCAACAGCAGCAACAACAGCAGCAGCAGCAGCAGAAACAGCAGCAGCAGCAGCAAAATAAGAACAAAACAAAACCAGTAGGAGGGGAAGGCAGCTAGCTCGTTGGTATTTCCAGGTGTACAGACACCTGGCTGTCTAAGCAGAATTGTTTATTGCATTCAAATTGAGTTAAAATAATTAAATTAAATTAATTAAATTAATTAAATCAAATTAAATTAAATTAAAAATGAAACAAACCTTCCTCATCTTCTTCAGACTCTTCGCTTTCCTCAGAAGAAAACAGCTGCGGCGTGTCTTCACCTGCGCCCTCCTCACCAGCAGCAGCAGCAGCAGCAGCAGCAGCAGCAGCAGCAGCAGCAGCAGCAGCACGCCGCTGCGCCACATATTCATCGCGGGTGCGGGGGGCACTATAAAGGGGTC